GATAAAAGAAACACGTGGAGGCTGTGATGGTGGAGATCTTACTGTAGCCACTCTGACTTCTGATCTATTGAGTCCACTGGCGTTGAGGAGCATCTCTCTCTGCATCTTCTACGGTGGAAATGTACAAGTTGAAATATTTAAAAACACGTACGAGGCAAATTTTGCGTACTTGCCTCATTCTCGTTACGTCATTCGCGTCTTTGCATTGACTTTGTGTGTAATCACGCTGCGCTGAGAATTGGTCGTGTTTTGGCTCGAACTTGCTGCTAACAGCTAAAAGCTAACGGTAACTAGCTCTCCTCCTGCCGATTTCAACTTGATTTGTTGATTCCAAATGTAACATTATCAACATGTGTAGCGTAAATGAGCCGATACACGATATGACATCAGATCCAACACGTTATTGGTATCGGAACAACTCGACTTCCAACAATCGGAGCACCTGAAGTGGTATAAAGAGTCAGAACATCGACTTAGGGAGGTCGGACAGATCAAACAAACACAGGACTTTCACCCAGGAGACCGCAGTGTGTGTCCAGAGTGAAACCAAGTCAACATTGACTTATTTTACCGTAGTTTAGTAACGCCATTTACCTAGCAAACAATTATTACAATCCTTAAATACACTCAGAGCTACTACAGTGGGACAGAGAGGCTCTGCTGTGGAGAAAAAGAGTGGAACATACCGAACAAATGGATGTTTGATTGCTGGTTCGCTGCAGGTGTGGATTGGGAAGTGGACATTTGTTCTGGACGTCCTCCATGAGGAGGTGGGAACTCTTGAGTTTTTGCTCTCAACAGATGAGACGACGTGATAAAACAACTCACACCTGTAAATAGGACAGCAAATATTCATTATTGTCGGGGTAAACGAGAATATGGGTCGTTTGAACAAACGCTGCCGAGGACATTTTCTTTTTGAGGCTAGAAATAGGTCATGCAGCTGCTCAAATGAGGCTTCAATTTAGGTCTACAAACGCCCAGTTTAAGTAGCCGTTTATCAGGTTGTCGCTAACTCGGTCTCTCGCTGCTCCCTGTAGCTCTCTGATTGGACCGGCACCTAGCTGTGAAGCTCCATTCAAGACTCAAGTGTCACTGTGAAAGCTCAGCCTCTACCTTTCTATAGTTGGCCCGTTAAGTGGCCCAGAAATGCTACATGCATTGTGTTTCTCTTCCTACCTTTTATCTGCCACTTCCACCATCACTCCTCAATCTAATCCGCCCTCTGCCTTTTCATTAAAAGCTTCTCTTTTCTCCCTCGGTTTGACCGTCACTCTGGCCTTAATGCTCGACATGTTTCCTTCTCCTGACTTCCCTCTAATGTCCCTGTGTGTCTGAGCTGGACTGCATGAAAATAAGATCAAATCCACACTAAGCTCGCTGAATCTAACACTGTTTAATGTGTAAACATTCACGGTGGCGTTTTTAACGGTTGTTTTGGATAATTTTGGAAATAGGGAAATTATTAGATATCTTCAATCTTCCTCATATGGCACAGAGGACGAAGATTCATCAGGCTTTAGATACACACACAGTTGAAAATAAAAACTCATTTCCATATCTTTCATTGTTGTTGTCAGACATAGTAAATGCTATCTGAGAACCAGACGAGCAGCTTCTCCTCGACATGTTCAGCCGTCACAAATAGGTGTGATGTCTCGATGTCCGCATGCTTTCATTTAGACTTCACCGACAGAAAGTCTGTCTTCAGAAAGTCAGAGGCGGTTTGTCATCATTTTACTCACAATAAAGCTCAGAGGCCTTGAGATGTGTGAAAGGCCACAGAAAATATAACATACATTTTTATATGTATCTGGCTTAGTGTGGTCTCTGGAGAGAGCGAGCGAGCGAGAGAGAGAGAGAGAGAGGAAGGCAAAAAGGGAGGGTTGTGGGGGAATCTTGGAATCTTTAGGCTTGGATTTAATCTGGGCCACTACAGAGAGGGACTGGGTATTATATGCTACACTACACAGAGAGGTCACCACATCGCCTGGAGGACTGGGATGCAGAGAGAGAGGAGAGAGAGAAGAAGAGGAGGTAGAGGAAGCTGTAAGAGAGAGCGTGATGGAGGGAAGAGGGAGGGGGACGAATGACAAACTGTCAGGTGTGGAGGGATGATGAAGTGCGGAGGATGGAGGGTGGAGGTTGGACTTGATGTCATCGCCCCCCTCCTCCCCGTGACTCTGCAGCGCTGAGGGCAGCTTCTGCTGACTCGCCACTCGCTCGCCCCAGGGAGCAGGAGCAAGATCTACACATTATCCCCCCCCCACCCCCCACCATCGCTGCTGCTGTGTGCCCACCTGGACGTTGGCATCACATGCCTCCCGGTCCGTTGAGATCAAAGGGAATGCCCTTGACGCAGAGCAGCACGGTGGAGCGCGTCGCCTCCGTGTGGCCGCCTGAAGACACCGCAGCTCAGACAGAGATGAAGTCAAAGTACCGTTTTTAAATTTGATTTAAAGAAAAAGTCTCTAAAGATCAGCGGGAACCTGTAAGGTCAACAACTCCGCAGCAGTTGAGTGAATACAAGCTGTGAGGAGAAAGAAAAGCTAAATTAGAAAAATGAACAGAAGGTCAAAAAATAAATTCTCTTCTCCTTTTCTGTCTCTGAAAGGAAGTGTATTTCTCTTTGGCTGCTAAACTATTTAGGTTTAACCTCTCCATGCTCCTTCCCTCCTAGAGCATTTAGGTTTAGCAGCCATAGAAACACATTTATACAGGTATTCCAAAAAATAAAACAAAAAGCAAAGAAATCTTGAAGCAACGTGAGCGCCCTCGGAGAGGAGGCTTTACAAACGAGTGAATGAAGAGAATTCACCTCATTCGTATCAGAAATCCTTGGAGAGAGGCCTCATCACTGTCACCGCTGCACCGAGTCAAAGCCTTTTGTATCGCAGCGATGCTCCCAAATAGATGAATTAAGATAAACTTGTGAGAGGAATGTCTTTTAAACGCAAAAAAGTTCAAAGCTATTTTTTAAAAAAAAAGGAAGTTTATGACCAAAGTCTTGAATATATTCTTTCATCCTCTAAAAGTCCAGGTGGAACTAATGAACTCAAAGCACCACTGCACAGTATGCTATATGTTATATTTGATTATAATGGTTCTACAGACACACAGAGAATCATCAAACTCTTTTGCTCTGGTTTGATTCAGTTTGGGGTTTTTACAGAACATTCAAAAACGTTTGTTACCAAAAGTATTTGGTTGTGAATTAATTTACATATCCCTCCTTCGTCATCCTCCTCTGATCTTATCGGTGGGTGAGGAAGGTGGAGGCGTCTACTTTTCACACAATCGAAACAAATCCCTAAACGACTTGATTAAAGAAAGAAAAACGCCTCAACAGGAAGGCGTTATATTATGCTTATATTATTTGATCATTTCTTAAAAAGTTGACAAAATAATCCAATGTTTTAATGCAGATTTTACCAAAAATGTGTGCATGGAATCAAAGAAGGTAAGCCACTGAAGACCTAGTAAATATTGCAATCTATTGCACACAATTAATCGTATCTTATTAACCGAATATGGCACCTGAAACGATTATCTTTAAGCTGGACCCAACAAATCAATACATGGTCAAAAGGCATTATGCACCACAGTGAATGAAGTACTGCAGCCAAGGCCAATGTTCCTGAATAAGGCTGATGCAGTTACTGAAAATTATTCCACATATTTCCACAAAAATTGAAACTTACGCATAGTAACAAGTTGCAAAAACCTCCACATCCCCCAAAATGCAGACATAACTTGAGGGTCCTCAACGACAGCTGTGGCCGATGATGCAGTCGATGTTTAGAACATTTCACAAATCAAAACGTCCGCAGTCAGAAAGGTCTGCCGCAGCGAAGGAGCCCGTATTCAAACACGGATTTCTAAATATATTTAATCACGGAACATTCCACACTGAAGGCTGTAATTGTCCTTTGTCGATCTCATACTGATTGTAATGAGGGCTTTCCCTCCTGCACTCACAATGCTCCCTTTCTTTAGGGTCCAGGAAGTGGGTTTTTTCGCCAAAAAAAAGGTGCTAATTGGAGTCACAGATTTAGATAAAAGCAAAGAAACTGTTCTGTTAAAAAAAAGAAAAAGAAGCCGAAGGCTCTCATTGCCATGGCTACACTCGGAGTTAATTACCGCCGTAATTGCGGCTTTTAACTTTTTCCACATCTGAGAGTGCTCCGACAGTTTATTCTGGCACACAATGTGTTCGCGACCTTCAGTCATGCCTCCTACTGAACTCCGGCTGATCTGAGATCTTTGAATCTACCAGTGGAAACATTCAAATAAACATGTAAATAAACAGACAATTAGAGATAAACGAATCAGTGGAGCCAACCATCTTTATAGGAAAACACTCAAAGAGGTGGTTTCAGCTCCTCTGACTCAAGTGTTAGCTCCTCATCTGTTACTAAGTGTTTCATACTTTCTGCCTTTATCTGGGGTCAGAAGAGACGTAAGATGAATGCACTACATACACCTTTCGCTGCACCGTGTGAGCAAATTACAACAGTACACCTGTCACACTGTGTGTTAAGATAAATCATTCAGTGTGATATACCGACGTCTCTGGTAGCGGCAGCGACCTGTCAATCACGGTAGCCCCGCCCCTAAATCATCCCCTGCTTTATGGTCTGTTTGACTCTAAATGGACCATAATGTACTAAATGAACATCATGCTGTGTTGAAGAAGACTTGAAACTAGAGATTGAGACCATAAACTCATGTTTACCACCAACCCTCCCCCAGGTTACAGCTCTGTCAACACTGTTACCTCCGTTAGCTGCTAGCCGCCGTTAGCTAGCAGTAACGTTAGCTTTTTACTTCTGCCGATTGTATTTACGCTTCAAAAATCATTGTAAACTTTTTGCAAGGCACAAAACTGCACATCAAAAAAGGCCATTGAACTAAAACACCAATCTGTCTGCATAAAGAAGAACGATTTGGAAACAAACTGTTTTTTCTTCACAGTTAAAATTAAATGAAAACAGTTAATATTGAAGTGAAATGCCATTTTATTGTTGAAACAAGTGCATGGACATAAAATGATCAGAATTTCCAAGAATAAAATTGTACAAAAAAAATCATAAATTTGTGAGAAATAAACTTCTCTGAGATTAAAGGAGACATATCATGCTCATATGCAGGTTCATACTTGAATTTTGAGTTTCTAATTCAACATGTTTACATGCTTCAATAATCAACAAACACTTTATTTTTCTCATACTGTCCGTCTGAATATACCGGAATTCAATCTCGATCTGAAACGCTCCGTTTTAGCGCCTGTCTCTTTAAGAGCCCTCTCCTGAAAAAGCCTCGTCCGCTCCGATTGGCTTGTGAGCAAAATATGGTCATGTGACATAGGAAGGGGAGCCACATCTGATTGGCTTTGTTGAATCACATGTTCTCTGATCTCTGTTTTTTTTCCGTCCTTTTAAAGTCACACTTTTACGAGAAAGATAACCAACTCTAAAAAAGTGTTTGTTTTTGTAAAGGAACCACATCGCTTCACTTTGCAAGGTTGGATCGACCTCATGACTTCATGCCATCGTTGCTTGCCGTGTACTATGTCTGCAGTGGACGACCTATTCAAATTACACTTTGCAATCGTGTTTAGCAAGAAGGGAATACTTGTGATTTCAGCCCAGAATCTCCATTTTATCATAAGCATCTGGACATTGCTGTGAATTTTTTTTTTTAAATTTGTACATTTACGACTTAAATGTTGGACTTTTTTTTCACTTCGGAATTATTTTTTTTGTGAAACAAAACAATCAACATAAATGATTTAGGAACAAATCTATAACTATATATATATATATATATACTGTATATATTTGAACCCATTTGATTAGATTTGAGTCAACAACAGATGTATTTTTTTGCCGTGTTCCCCCAGCGTGTCATTTCACACTGTGTATGGACTGAACAGCTTAAGTGTTTCCAGGTAAAGTGAAAACACACCCACACACACACACACACACACCCTGCCCGTGTCACCTCACAGCCAGCCGTTGGAGGAAAAGTCCCGCCTCAGCTGCTGAGTCTCGGCCTCCGTGAGCGGCTGAAGAGGCGATCGACAGGCGCCGCCGTGGAAACCGAACCACTCCATCGCCTGCTTGAGGGCGGGAACTCCCAACTTCCTGGTCACCTAGCAACACAGAGCTCCAATCAGTCTCCCCGTACAACAACCCCCCCCCCATCTGCCGTGTGGGTTCAAAGCTTTATCAATACTGACAGTTAAAAAGCAGACACGTTTACTGTATTTGTGATCGATATTTGGCTGCAGAGCTGCATCCGGATCACGTGTCACTTCCTACGAGAGCGAAGCCTGATATTCGCGATGCGGCGTGTCGAGGAGTTTGAGTGGTAGGTTGGTGCCGTTAGAGCAGCAACATTTAACAAACATTAACAGACACATCTGAAGCCTGGAGCATATCATTCAGTGTCGTTTTCTCAACCATCTCACCCTGAGAACACACAACTCTCTCGTATAACTTTGTTAAGTGAAGTTAACTCAACACATCATCTTGAAATAAACTTTTACCCGCTTGTAAGAATTACAAGATCTTGTTAAGTTTGTTATAAAAAAAACAATTCAGCTCCAGTACTAACTCTCCTTTTAAAATGAACATTTTGTGCTATCCATCATATTCTCAGCAGATCCTAGAGCAGATATTTCATTTTGACTTTAAAGAGTTGACGTTATATTATGCACAACTTAAACGTCATAAAAGCAGCCAATAAACTCCAGATCAGTTCTGAGAGATGTGACTAAACCTCCAGTCTGTCATTACTTGTGAGAGTTTGTTCTGTTGTGCGTGTGTGTGTGTGTGTGCGTGTGCGGCGGATAAAAGCGTCCACCGCGCAGCAGATGGTACTCACGGCGGCGTTGGGCTCGATGAGGCGCTGCTGCAGGCCTCTGGCTTCCTCCCAGCGACCGGACACACACAGGCTCTCCAACTCACACAACTCCCGGCCCAGCACGTTGGCCAGCGCGCACACTCCGCCAACCGCACCTAGACACCCGGATCACAATCGAGAGCTGACGGATTCATAACGTATAGAGTTGTTTTTCTTTTTCATACAATAATTTACTGTGAAACAATGAGAAACGTTCTTGACCTTTTGAGCCACCACATCCTTTCCTTCTAATAGAACGTGTCTCAATAAAAAAAAAAAAAGGAATAAAAGAAAAAACCAAACTATGTCTCAACAGCCAGTCTAGCGTCTCCATGAGGCCTGAGCTAACTTCGCCGTGCTAACATGTTTACAATGACTGAATTTAGCAGGAATAATGTTTACGATGTTCACCATCGTAGTTCAGCAGCACAGTACAGCGGAGGCCGATGGTCATTGGTTCAGTCATAAACCAAAGTGTTGGACAACATTTGAGATATTTCACTTAAACCATAGACAGTATATAAGAAGTGGACGTAGTCATCGTCAGGTCGCCATTGGTTTGTGGAAGGCCGTTTAGAAGCCTCGATTTCGGTGATTTCGCCGTGGCCATCTTGGATTACGGCCGTCGCCATGTCGGTTTTTCTTCCTTCCAATGAACAGAAGTGACCATATTTGGAATGCGGAGGAGTGACGTAGAGACACCGTATACGTCTCTGGTAGTGACCTGTCAATCACAGTAAGCCCCGCCCTAAAGCATCCCCTGCTTTATGGTCTGTTTGACTCCAAATGGACCATAATGTACTAAATGAACATCATGCTGTATTGAAGAAGACTTGAAACTAGAGATTGAGACCATAAACTCATGTTTACAATGTTTACTGAGGTAATAAATCAAGAGAGAAGTAGAGTCATTTTCTCATAGACTTCTATACAACCAGAGGAGTCGCCCCCTGGTGGACACTAGAGAGAATGCAGCTTTAAGACACTTCAGCGTTGACTTCACTCGGCAGAACCGGAGGTTACCGCCTGGTCAGGATGTAATGGTACATTTAAAAAAATACAACAAAAAACTTTTTGAAGAAGATTACCGTAGCTTTAAACTATTCAATTAAATTAAATAAATAAAATCTACATAATGCGAGACCTTTTGTGTTGCTGGCTTTTGTAGAAAAACACACGAAAAATGTAACATTTAGTAGGATATCATTACCATTAGGATATACGTTGACTAAAGGGATCCCACAGGATTTGTGGTTAGCAAATTCCACATTTCTGCAAAAAAAACAAAAAAAACAAAAAAAAACCTGCTCCAGCTTTTAAGGGTTGCACTTACAACCAGCCGTTCCAATCTGGTTTCATACCCACGTTAAGTTGAAGGAAGGTGGCCGGATAAATCACATTTGATCAGCTTACTGTGAGCAATCACTCAACTCAGCGCTTATATGTTTAGAATATTAAAAAGCTCCTTCCACCACTCATGCACAGTGTGTTAAAGCATTAGCATGCATCACGGCATGCTAAGTACAAGAAGCACTTGAGCTTGAGCTGCCCGAGAAGTCGAACGTGTGGACAGAATTCAGTGTTCAAACAACTGGAGATAAAACCAAGCAGAACATATTTCCCTCTTAAATGAAGCCATCCATCACTCTCCTGGTTTTACAGCTGTGTTGTCAACACACAGACATAAATGATTCACTAGCAATGTTTTTTGAGGTATAAAGCCAGCCTTCTATCTTTTTCTCTCCTGACAGATCGGTACGCCGTTCATTCAGTATGATGTCATTTTTTAAAATTTATACACATAGCTAGATACACACATCATCCAAGGCAGCTAGATAGGATGGCCTTCCAGTGTGACATCTCATTGCCTGCGTCTGGTGGAGGAGGGAAGCAGAGAGCTGGCTCCGTCCGCGGCCTTGAAGTTGTTGTTGTTGTTGTGGATAGACGAGCCGGCGGCTGCTGATGGGCGGATTTTCTGTCTGAAAATTATGTTTGTGTTGGCTCGCCGCCGCTCGGATCGCGCCGCTGACAGCAGCTTACCAAACGCTGCTGACTGACGGGCGAAGCTGCACCGTGAGCGACGGCTCGCGAAGAAAAGACACCAAAGGCTGGCAAAAGAGGCAGAACCAGATTCTAAATGTCCAGGATTGTGGAGATGTGAGTGCCAGAATGGACTGAAACAGATCTCTGCCCAACAACACTTTCATCCTAACGATATAATTATCATCAATTAATTCACACTTTCCTCCACCTAAAGAAAAAGATATTGCCTATTTTTCTTTGTTAGATCTTTGAGTTGAGAGACGCAATAAATATTTACATTTCAACATGATTGGAAATGTGAAAATCTAAACCAGTCTCATGTCATGTTATGTATGTCACGCTGTAAGGCCATTAGCTTAGCTTAGCATAAAGACTAGAGGCAGGGGGAAACGAGTTAAAGGAGCAACATACGATATTCAGAGCATTCATTTAGCAGCAAACAGCTATTATCTTTAAAGATCTGAACAGACTCACTCTCCCTCTGTGTGTTTCCAGAGATTCTCTTCGCTTCGTTGACTTAACTCAATATTAGCTGTGTTTACGTCAATTGCGAGGTGAATTTTAAGTGAATTTTTTAAATGTAGCAAAACAGAAATGCGAATTAGGCCAATTCCATCAACTGGTTTGGAGCGAATAAACTCTGCTACAGCGTAGTTTGGTCAGAAGTTGGCGCTGTCTGCTACGTTTGGCTGTAATCTGCCAGTAAACGGAGTAGAAGAAGAAGAAGTCGAGGTCGTGAACAGGAAACAAAACAATTCGCTTGACAATCTAACCATCTATGATATATGGTTAGGTTCTTTTTGAGGTTTTCATCTTCTTTTTTTTTTTTTTTTTAAAGAGTAATATGTGTTCATGTGGTTTACCAGCAGTTTTCCCTACAACAAGCTTATGCAAAAACATGCACAACCGCTACACAAAGCACAATTTCATTAAAGATAAAAACACGTTCTTGCACTATAACGACACCAACAGACTCATTTCTGTCGGAGAAATGGGAACATCGTGAGATTTTGGCTCAATACTGAGACTCTACCTTCGACAACCTGCAAAACACAAGTGAAGTAGAGTGTTCGGCTCTTTGTTGTGATGCTCTACGAGGGTTTGACTGACAGGGCTTCAGCTTTACTGTTGGGGGTGTTGAGAGAAATTAATTCAGATAACAAGACTTTAAACACACGCTCACCGTGGACACATTATCATATCAATCACTCAGCGCTACCTGTGTCCATCACACACACACACACACACACACAGCCAATTACTCCCATATTTCAGTTATGGAGATGAGAACATGTTCGGGAGCAAAGATCAGAGAACTGTGAAAGTGTGTGTGTGTGTGTGGTGCAGGGCTGGCAGTGGGAGAACATGACTCATTAGGTTCCTGAGCATCATATTGATGCCTATCCCCTAACGTGTTATCTAATCCAGGCTTACAGTACACGGTACGTGGCGGACATTCATAAGAAGGCAGCTGCTGCCAAAAGGATGCTGATGAATTTTTGATTTGCTGCAACTTTAACAAATGAAAGATTGCACGCTTCCTCGCAGGATGAGAAAAAACACTCAACAGTCCTTAATTTCTGAAAGGAAGAGAGGTTGCTGGTGAGATTGCTGAAGGTATGCGTGTCTCCGGTGTTTCCAGCCTGTGATTATGTTACGGTTGGGACATTCAGACACTCGAGTTGTGAGAAATAGAAAAATATCAGACTCTGTTTTCATTATTTCACAATGAAGCCAATGCTGAAGTTCCTTAAACCAGCATTCTCTCTAATGACCACCAGGGGGCGACTCCTCTGGTTGTATAGAAGTCTATGAGAAAATGACTCTTCTTCTCTCTTGATTTATTACCTCAGTAAACATTGTAAACATGAGTTTATGGTCTCAATCTCTAGTTTCAAGTCTTCTTATTTTGGTCGGCAAAAAAAATCTCTTATCCAGTGTTTCATTTTACACAGCTCCATCCTCTCGTGTCACCTCCGGTTACAAAAAACAAGATGGCGACAGACGAAAACCAAGATAGCGAGGGCCAAAAAACAAGATGGCGACGGGCAAAATGCTGAACTCGAGTCCACGAGGGGCAGAAGAGTGAATTTATCTGGCACTGAACTGGGCTCACGTTAAAGTGTTTTCTCTTGTGGTAATAAAATGTTTTGAAATCTCTTCATTGACTAATGTATATAACTCTAAAACATGCAAAAATTCACAATGTTCTCTGTTTCAAGGTCAATACTTGCTCATTTTCGAGCCCCACAGCTCATGTAGAGTTTCATTATCATTCATCGTTCATTAAGTCTGTTTTTTTAAAACAGTTCCTACTCCCATCACGGACGCGATGATGATGTAACTTTGGCAAATTAATCAGAGTTGACTTAATGTACTTTGTGATGAATTAATTCTTTCAAGTCATTTCCACGCCTTCGCTAATTGATTTTTATAGTAAAATGAAATGAAACCATAACAGCTGCTAACAGGAGGTACAGTAGGAAATCAATCAAAAAATGAGGACATGTCTCGGACATGAAATCCTGTGCAACTTCATATCGGGAGTGTGAGTGAAACGTGAAAACAACAACAAGAAGTGACAGCAGAATGCAAGGGATTATGGGTAGAAAGGACAGATGCTGACATCCGATAGCCAGCGGTTAAAGAAAATTTGATATTTGTGAATTATGTGGACGTGTCCTTGTGTTCCTGTGAGGAACAACAGCACCGTTAGTGCAGTCTTAGGGCTTCTTACCAACGCTATAGGCGGCCATGAGGAAGCCTGCTGAGCCCGCCAACACCTGGAAATCCTGCGTTTTGGTTTTGTGAACGATCAGGCCGATCCGTGAGATCTGAGGAGAGCGTATAAAAGACACACAGAGAGAGAGAGAAGGTAAAACATCAGGACCATCATTGTCATCACTCCTCCCTGCTGTCAGGACTAATATCTGGTGGGTTTTTAATCCCTGGAGATGCTGTCACAGGAGACGACAAATCAAACATCTCACAAGGAACACAAATCGCTCAAATTGAGACGAGCATCGACTCTTAACATGGGGGAGGTTTTGGGAGGAGGGGGATCGTTCAAAATCTTAAACAGGAGAAGAAGAAGAGAGAGAGAGAGAGAGAGAGAGAGAGAGAGAGAGAGAGAGAGAGAGAGAGAGAGAGAGAGA